CCATGGCGACTGGAGAGACAGTAGGAAGCCCCGCCCTCCGGCCCCGCCCCTCCAGCACTCTGATGGCCTGCAGGCAGCGGGAGCGGCTGAGGTCTGTGTACAGTACTCGAATCTGAGAACACAAACACTCATTAATAGAATCTATCCGGAAACATTTTATATGTCAAAGTGGATTTAAATACAGCATGTTTACCTTGAGAAAGGCCAGCGGGTGGGTACGGGCTCTCTGACAGCTGATACGGGGAGAGACTGGACACAGCCACATGTGAAAAACCACCAGGGATCAGGTGATTGAACGGCATGAGCTGATTGGCTCCCGCTTGCTTCCTCCAACGAGCTCGTCTGTTACTGAACCACACCTGAGAAAAGACAAATGTAGGAGTGTAATGAAATAGTTTTTGATTTTGTCTGTTGTTTTGGAATGTGTATGGGGTGTATTTGTACCTGCACTCGTGCCTCTGTGAGTTTGGCTCTCTGAGCGAGCTCTTCTCTGGTGTAGATATCAGGGTAATGTGTGCGTTCGAAAGCTCTCTCCAGCTCCTCCAGCTGTTCGGCCGTGAATGTCGTTCGACTGCGACGCTGTTTCCTTTTCAGCGGCAGATCAGGCTCCGATTCCACATCTGAACCTTCATCAGATGGACTCGCTGAAACACACACAAATGCCAAAGAATGAAATGTGAATTTTTTATACATTATATGTATATATATATATATATAAATGAATAAATAAATAAATATACATATATATATATAAATGAATAAGTAAATATTTCTTATAAATAAATAATGTAGATATTGTTTTTATACATTATATAATTTTCTAATTATCTAAATATGTACTTTTAATATAATGTAAGAAAATAAAATATCTAAAAATATATATTTAAATAATTTATAAGGTATATTTTAAGATTTTAAATATATTTTGAACTGTATTTGTTTTTATATCATATATATATAATGTAAGAAATATTTTATATATTATATAATGTTTATATATTTATATATAATTTTATATAGATTACAAAATTGGATTATGTTTTGTCTGGTATTTTGGAAACAGTAGTGGTTAATGGCAAATCCCCACTTAAACAATTGTGTGTGTCATAAACCTAGAAAATACACACAAATATGAACAAGCAGAAGCACAGAAGACGCTCCTCAATTTGTAGAAGTACCAAACAAACATGTTTTAGCAGCTTTTACTATTTTATTTTATTTTTTTATTTTTTGTGAAGAGAATTTGATGTGCTTCTTCACATCTTTTCTTGAAAGGCTTCAGAGCCAGGCTTATTTTTGTGTCACACAGTAATTCCTTGTCTGTTTTTTTTCTCTCTCTCTCCATTTTGCCTCAGTATCTAAAAAGACCACAGAGCAACAGTCAAAGAATTAAACACAAACAGAGAGCTGCAGGAGGGAATATAAAATGCACAAGTGCAAATTGTTAAAAAAAAAAAAACAGGATGAAAGAGAAATACAGCGGAGGAGAAGAGAAAGAGGCAATGCGCTGAATGATCGTAAAATTAAATGGAAAAAAGAAGAAAACCTATAAAAGAAACACACAAATAAATAAATAAAACCCAAATCATTAATATAATAAAACATGACATATTTCCTCATAAAAAAGCTTTTGTTTTTCTTGTTTCAAACAGAAATGTACTTATGAGGACTCAATGAGAACTATGGGAAATTCCTACAATTTCACAGGGATTTGGTTGAAGGAACACTGAAGCATGTGTTGTTGTGAATGTTGTGACATTCCAGACAGAGAAGCTGGGAACTATATATTCATGGTCCTGGAATTAAAGGAAATTCATATCTTGTGATTTTTTTATTCTGCAGAGATTGAGCTATTTGTGCATCTCTCTCTCTCTCTCTCTCTCATTCTGTCTTCCCTTCAGTCTTTGTTGGATCGATTTGCACGCTCCATCTGTGGAATCCGTCATGACGGCCGGGGCTCTCAGTGGAGGCCGTCACCTGCCCTGGAGGGGGTGTAAGGGGCATGAAGAAGGCCAAAGGTGGGTGGGTGGCAGAGCAGAAAGGGAAAAGGGTGGGCCGGGTAGTTCAAGTGCTCAATCTCTTCAAAAACCCATTTAGAAATAGCACAGAAGCACCTGAAACTTGGGATGTGGACACTGCTCTGAATAATGAGTCATCTGTGGCTTTTCTTTTACTGTGTGTGCACTCGCATAACTAACTTTCAACCAAAGTTTTATCATCATATACTCATTTGTGTTCTCATTTGTGAAAGCATGCAAGATTCTGCTTTCCTTACGATGAAAACAGTAATCTGTGATTATTCAATTTAGGAGTTATTTCTATGTAATCTAACCCTTAAATAAACCCTTAGGTTTTGTTGGTGTAACCTAATGCATTTAGGGTGATTCTGTGAATATATATTATATATTAAGTTTTATATTATATTAATTATATCTTGAATTTTTTTTTACTACATTTTAGGTTAAAACTACCAAGCTCAACTAGGTGGCTGCGGTCTTCTGTGCTGATTTTTAATTAATTTTTTACTATGTTTGTCTATGTAAATAGGCTCTAGACATGACTGATATTAAACAGCTTTGGTTCTCACCTCATTAAAAGGGATCGCAATGTGGCAAGTAAAAAAAAAAATGCAATCTCAAATAAGATTTGATGCCAGAATCAGTAAAAAACCGACTGTGAATTTGTGAATCTATTGTATGACTTACTGTAAGAAAATATGAAATATAGTGCACATGTTTTATGGACTACTTTTATTCTGCTTTTATGGTGCTTTTTTGTCAATTTAGGCAACTTGACAGATGCCGGTTTTTGTCGCTGTATGGAAAAGTGTTTTCACAAGAAAGAAAATACAGGATCGGAAAAATACAAGGATGAGTAAATATGGTCAAAATGTTCTTTTTTGACATCTGACGATCTAGTAGCCAATACCGTTAAATTTAGTTTTGTTGGTGTAACTTAATGTATTTAGGGTGATTCGGTGACTATAATTTCTTTTCTATTCTATTCTAAGTTATTATATTAATTATGTTTTTGACTTTAGAGGTAACCACATTTTAGGTTCTTCTGTGCTGTTTTTTAATAAAAAAAATTTAATATGTAAATATGCTCTAGAAATGATTGATAATCAGACCGCTTTGGTTCTCATGTCGCGCAAAGTTTAAAAAATCTCACACGAGATTTGACACCAGAAGAGATTGAACAATGACATCAAGTTCTTCACAAAAATCTATCCTATAATTTCAGGAGACTTGAAATGTATTTGCATGGACTACTTTTGATACTTTTATGGTGCTTTTTGTCATTTTAGGAGCTTGAAAATTGTATGGAAAAAATGGTATCAGTGTTCATTTTTGACATCTGATGATCTGGTAGCAAACAAGTCAGCATTGCATTTTTATATTTTTGATGACTGAACGAGAATCAAGGCAAGTGAATAAACAGAACCAAAGAGCAAACAGTAAACACGGGTTTAATTCGGGCAGAAGAATACAGACCACAGGCTTCTAAACACACACAACCAAAACCCAAACGTCATGGAAATGGAACCGCTGGAGAATCTAGAGATATTCTGCACTGTAAAAAAAATTCCGTAAAATTTAAATTGATTTAAATAAAAAAAATAATAAAAAAAAAATGTGGTAGCAACGTTTTAGGTTTTACGGTTTTAACTTAAATTTACAGTTAAATACCGTAATTTCATTAACTGATATAATGTAAATAAACCCCGACGTGATTTGAACACGCAACATTCTGATCTGGAGTCAGACGCGCTACCATTGCGCCACGAGAAAGTCACATGATGAACCAAAGCCCATCACAAGCAGCTTTTATATAATAACATATATAGAAGGTGCACAGAGTCATTCACACAAACACTAAACACCATCATGGTAACAAACATGAAACTGAAATAATGCAATAAACATTCATTTAACAACATTAGGTGTAACACATAACCCTAATATACACAACTGATAAAAAAAAACTAAGAAGAAACATAGTTATTTAAACAAAAAAACATCAATTTTTTACAGTGTGCCTTCTGTAAATACTCAGAGTGTGTATGTGTGTGTGTGTGTTTTCAGGTCTTTGGCATGTATAGCGTGTAGTGTGCATGAGTATGTGTTTTAAGATATTTTAGCTCTCCGCTATGTAAACGGTGCGGTCACTAAAAGCATCTCCATCCGCCGTTTCTCTTAAGCTCTGGGCCCTCGTTGCTTAAATTCAATATTTGGAGGCGAAATATCACCCTGAGCCCATTTACCTCATGCGTTCATGTACACAGAATCCACCTAAGGAGTTTCATTAATACTGCGGGGCGGTGAGCGCATATCCAGCAGGCTTTTGCACTTAGTTTTGGTTGGGGGCAAGCGGCAGAGGTCCAAGATAAAACCATATGTGCGTGTGTAGAGTTAGTGTGTGTGTGTGTGTGTGTGAGAGCGATTCTCTTGGGGGCAGGTAATGAAGAGAGCTAATTGAGCCAATGACATGCCCCCTCACCATCAAAAACAGCCAAAAAAGAAAGACAAAGACACGGACAAAAGAAAGCTTGGGAACAAATGCAGCGTCTCGGACAGGGGAGAGCGAGGCGGGTCCTTTTCAGCGCCGAGGTTGGCTGAGTGACTGCCCGACTACATTAAGCAGTACATAGAGAACTAACAGATGCCGGAGACAGAAAGGATGAGTGACAGCTCGTGGGCCCATCTGCCCCCCAGCGTTTAGGAACAGAGAGAAACAGAGGGAGGACTTGACTTGCTAAAGAGCAACTGTGACCCTCGCAGCTGCCCTCAAACAACCACACGTTTCAGCTCTGAACCAAATGTGCTCTTGGTCTGTTTAGCCTCTTTTGCTTTGCTCTCGAGTCACTTTTGATACGTTTTTTTGGTTATGTGGCTTTTGTAAAAGAAGCTAGTGTGTGAAACAGCATGCAGTATGCAACTATAAACATTTCAAAGTAGAATGGTGCACGATATGGCTTCATCACACTTGGCTTCAAGTAATTAATTAGAGATGATTATTTTGCATTTTTAATCCAAGTTTCTGTAGAAATGCTTTAGCTTATACTACCGTTCAAAAATGAAATGAAATGAATACTTTTATTCAGCAAGGATGCATTAAACTGATCAAAAGTACAGTAAAGACTCATATTACAAAAGATTTCTGTTGCAAATAAATGCTGTTCTTTTGAACCTTCTATTCATCAAATAATTATCATAGAAAATAAAAATGATCATAGTTTCCATAAAAATTGTTTTCAACATGTTTCTTGAGCAGCAAATCAGCATATTAGAATGATTTTTGAAGGATCATGTGACACTGAAGACTGGAGTAATGATGCTGAAAATTCAGCTTTGCATAAATTACATTTTAAAACATATTCAAATAGAAAACAGTTATTTTAAATTGTAATAATATTACTGATTTTACTGTATTTTTTAATCAAATAAATGCAGCCTTGGTGAGCATAAAAGATTTCTTTTGAAAACATAAAAAATTCTTGCAAACCTCAAACTTTTGAACAGCAATGTATGTCAGTATGATCAGAGAATAAGTCAAGAATAAGATCGCCATTAATATATCATACTGGAGATGGAATATCAGGTCAATGCATTGCATTGTATATAGTATTTCTTACATTGTATATATTGCATATTTTGGCAATTGTGGGGATCATTTTGTGCATACAGAAAATTTGCATACTATACACTTACTACAGAAATAGTACTAGATTAATATGCTAGTATGTACATAGTGTGCAGTTAGTGCCTTTATGCTGAAGGGAATAGGAGTTAAAACAGGAAGTGGTCACCTGTCACTCTAAACATACACCAGTGTGACCTTTGATCACTGGAGGTCAAACACCAGTGACTTCGGACTGCTCTGTTTAACAAATGAAAACACATATTCAGAAAGTGTTTGTTGACCATCACCTAAAACAATGTACCACATTTTTTAAAGCAAACTAAGCAAGAAACGGCACTTTGTGATTGTGATTAGGTGAGTTGATTCATGTTTTCATACTTAAGTCCTATAGGCTCACTTATCAACTATCCAATAAAAAGCAGCCTCCCTGAACTCTCTCAGTGTTGTTTTCGTGCTGTCTGTGTCCTAACTGACACGCACACTGTAGTTTTGCCTTCAGGGCCTGAACTCAAGCAGACACAGATTCCTAAGTCTGCTGACACTGACACTGCACGCTGGACACAATGGAGACAGTTTTGTTTGGGGGGTTTCCCCTCATTGTCCGTCCAGCTGTACTCCTCTCACTGTCTGTCGCACTCTGTGTCAGAAAAGGATGCAATGTATGCTTTAATATTTCATATACAATAAAAAACACTACTCTATATCAATCTGTTGTTTTTTATTCCTAACCCGAGACCAAATTTGCACCTGTAACTCCTCCTAGAGATTTTAAGGCCAAGTTTGTATTGACGAAGTTTCCTTTTGTAGGGTTTGGTGGTGCATTTGTGTTTGTTTGTTGAATTACGACCCGCTGACTACACACTCCATGGTGCCACACAAACCATCCCGCACTGGGCCAGTTGGCACTGTTTATGTATGCATGTGTACGTGTGTGCATCCATGCGTGTGTTTGCGTGTTTGTGCATGTGCATATGTTTGGCGGCGTGTGCATATGTGCATATTATAGGAGTGTCAATCATTTTACACTTTTCTAAATATGTTTCTCAGTTCATTTTCTGTTTGAGCATACTAAATATATCTGTTCCAATAGGACACAATGCATGCCAGGAAGCGAACAGGGAACATTCTCAGAACTTTGTGTAATGTTCTGGCAAGGTTATGAACAAAGATTCTTCCTGTAATGTTAACAGAACGTTGGTCTTTAATATCATTCTCAAAAATTTGCATAAAAACATTATTTATGCATAAGTTCTTTTTTCTAGTTGCATGTTTGTCTAACATTTTTAAATGTTCAGAGAACAATCAAAAGTTACATTCACATAATATTTGCAGAATGATAAAATGGAATGTTCTCTTCATGTTTTTTCTGTTCACATAACCAAGAAAAACGTTTAAACATTTAAAAAAACTGGACGTTTTAGAACGTACAGAGAACGTTTAGAAATAACATTTTAATAGCTTAATGGGAACATTAGCAAAACATTCTTAGAACATGTTTTTATTAGCTTGGAAGTTTCTCTCAAAGTTATGACCAAACATCTGGGTCCGTTAATAGAACGTTCATTCAAAGTAATCTGGTATGTTTTAGTATAACATTTAACATTTGTTGCACGTTTGTCTAAGTTTTTTTTTTACGTTACTACTTATAGTTTCAGATGGTTCAGAGAACATTCAGTTATAACATTCCCATAATTTTTGTGAAATGATAAAATAGAACTTTCTCTTAATGTTTTTTTCTAATGTTCAGTTCACATAACCAAGAAAACATTTAAAAAACAAGACATTTCGAATGTTCAGAGAACATTAAGAAATGATGTTTTAATAATGGGAACATTTTTCATAAAACATATTTTTGTGAGCTAGGATGAGGGGATTTTTGGAGGACAGCAAACAGAGAGATTTCATAACCTACAGACTCCCCGCACACACGCCAACATCTTTGAGTCTTTAAGATGATATATGGAGACAGTATGAAGGAAAGGGTTCAGGAATCAAGCTGTTGCCTATTCAAAAGAAGGGTGTAAATACTGAACTCAACTTCCCTGTCTGTGTCTCCCAGAAAAGGAGGGGCGGTGGGAATGGAAGGGACTGACAACGGCCCACAGATATTAACCGAAAATGCGCCGCAGGCCAAGCGAGGTAGAACGGGGCATGAGGAGGACAGAGGAGAAAAAGAGCAAGGCGTGTTTGACTCATTGGCCAGATGAAAGTGAAGTTCAAATAAAGAGCCTGATTTAAACGGCTCGGGCAACTCGTCTTTCTTGGATCGCGAGACGGGCAGAGCGTGACGGACAGGCTTTGTGGCAGCGCACATGACGAGAGGCTCGCCCCCATTGTGACCGCCGCTCCGGGCCATGAAGGAACAGCCGAGGAGAACACTGGTCCCTATTGACGGAAATAGCCTTTAATAAACTCCCATCGCCATTAAGTGTGACTCTGCATCCCGATCAGTATTATTTAGGGAGCTGAAGTGGTGTTAGCAGGGCATCAGAGGCAGTCAAATAACGTTCACCTTAATTAGTCACGCAGGGACAGGCTGTTAGCTCATTAAATATCATTACAGAACAGCAAAACATCAGTCACTTCAGCTGTCGGCCAGTAGGCAGCAAGAAGGCAAAAACAGACTCTCCTCCACTGTTCTTCATCAACTCTTTCCTTTTGATTCCTCTGAGGCCTCTTTGCACAGAAATACTACAGATGTCCTTTCTTAACAATTCATTGTGTTGTCATATTTTTGTCTTTAATGTGTCTTTAATATTTATGATAATTTCTCCTTCAGAGAACAGAAAAAATCAGAAAGAAACAGTCATGTAGGTTTGCAATGTCATGAGGGTGAGTAAATTATGACAATTTCTTCTTTTTTATGGATTATCCAATTTGTTGTACATAACTTATATTTTCCCTTATTTTTTTTATTTTTAGTGAAATGTAGAACTCCATTTAAGATCCTCATTGCCTTTCATTGTGGTCACATTAAACCTACTCTTTCCAGATTTCCAACATGTTTGGTGGCTTCTTCCTCCCCCTTGCCTCATGCCTGTTGCATAATACTTATTAATATACTTAGGAATTATTGGTTATTGATCATCAGTAAATCGAACTCATCATTAATGCAAAGAAATTAATATTAGAAATATTACAAGTCAATACACCACATTTTTGTTTATATTTCTACTTTATAAACTACCAATCAAACGTTTGGGCTCCTCATTTTATATAATAAATTCATAAAGTCATCAAAACTATGAAATAACACAAATTAAAAATGATGCACTGACCAAGAAACGTTAAACTAATGAAACTGTCTAGATTACAGCTCTACATATTCTGGAAATTCTCTCAGCCAACTTCATAAAGTGCATCCTTGGACACTTCTGGACAGTCTTGTTGCCCTGCTTTCCTTCATTATCCAGTCTTTTGCTGAGAAATTCATACTTTTTGCTTTTCAAGCATTTTCAAGCACAATTTTTTTTTAAAACTGCTTTTGTCTGGTAGTGTAGGTTAATTTGTTTCTTTTGCTATGGCTAAAATGATAAGAACCATTATGAGTTTGTATCACCATTATAGTCCCCAAGTGTTTCAAGCCATTTATATATTCATAAAAAATATAGGTCTATCATTCTAATTAAATTTCAGTTTGTTAAAGTCACATCTTTCCAACAACTCCAGATCAATTACAATCACAGTTATTTCTAAAAACCTGTTAAAGAGTTTGTAGGATCCACTCACATCTGTCAGGGAGAATCCCCTCGATGCTGTGTCCGCTCCTGCGGGCGTGTTCTTCCTGCTCGCGCTTTTCGATGTCCTCTTCATCCTCGTCCTCCTCCTCCTCGTCACCTCTTGCGCCATATCTGCCTCTCATGATGCGGCTTATCGCACTCACTGGACAAGAGTTCAACCGTGCTCTTAATATGTTTTATATCTTTTAATATAGAAATATGCATTTCAATAGTATACATTTCATTTTTCAAACGTTTCAGTCACCAAGAAAGTTAGATGTCAAGTTAGTCTGAGTGTGTGATTTAAGTTTTGTGGTTACTAAAACTAGTGAAGACGCTTGCGTGAAGACGCTAGCCAACAGAAATGGAGTTCGCCAGGTAAACATAGCAACAGTACGTCGATCTAGCGTAGGCCCTATGTTGACAAAACATTGTTTATCGCTGTATTATTTACTATAGATTTTATGCATATCACAAGAAAATGCATAACAAGTTAAAAAGTTATTATTATTTTTTTGTTGTTGCACACTGTAGTTCATGTATTTTTTCGTTTTGTTTGACGCATACCTGAGGGTACGTTGTTCCGGTCACAAATTCCCTCTTTGAGCAATTTATCCTGAATTTCCCAACTGAATATTCCGGGATTTTCCCGTTTATATTCCTCAACGCGCTTCTCCACATCTGGAGATGTAGTCTGTTAAAAATAATAAAAAATTTAATAAAGGAGTTCGCCAAACATAGCAACAGTACGTCGATCTAGCGTAGGCCCTATGTTGACAAAACATTGTTTATCGCTGTATTATTTACTATAGATTTGATGCATATCACAAGAAAATGCATAACAAGTTAAAAAGTTATTATTTTTTTGTTGTTGCACACTGTAGTTCATGTATTTTTTCGTTTTGTTTGACGCATACCTGAGGGTACGTTGTTCCGGTCACAAATTCCCTCTTTGAGCAATTTATCCTGAATTTCCCAACTGAATATTCCGGGATTTTCCCGTTTATATTCCTCAACGCGCTTCTCCACATCTGGAGATGTAGTCTGTTAAAAATAATAAAAAATTTAATAAAGACAGTCAACAAGGTGCCGGATTCAATTCAAAGACTCTTAGTTCAAATGCAGGGTCATTATGTCAAAAGACAGTAGGCGTTGTCGGTCAGTCATCGACCTGTTGCTTTGAGTTTATCCGCAAATTTCCTTGGAAATATCCGCATGCCCAGTTGCAACAGATGGATCCGCTCTTCCATGCCTCCCTATAGGGCCTCACCTTGGATTTACTCCCGCCGATGGCTCCAGGCCGGATGGATCCAGTCTCCTGATAGCGGCACAGGATTTTGGAGACGCAGCCGTGAGAGACTCTGAGCTGGCGGGATATCACGCAGGGCCGGATCCCGTGATGGGCCATCTCCACTATCTTATGTCGAATGTGATTCGGTAGAGGCCGGCCGTTGATGAAAACTCCTCCAAGCTGGTTGACTCGACCCTGACCCATCGGAGTTGACACTGCATCGAAGCCAACCCAAATTATGACAGTGGAGAAATAACATAATTGCAGAAACATGAAATTAAAAAATCATGCTGCATAGCTATTCCTAAATAACTTTAGTGTGCTTCTGGGGTAAGACAGTTCATAGCCTATAGGCTCCATGTGCATTTAATTCAATGACATATTCAGGTGTTTCTAAACGTAAAAAAAAAAAAAAAACAGTAAAACGTCAGTATGATTGCTGCTTTAAATTTGAGGTAAACTAAAAGTGGTGCTAAAGTTACAATCATGCTATTTGAAATTAATGACTGATTGAGAAACTCTAAACTCATGCAATCGAGTAGAAATTAAAGGAATTATTGCGATAGATGCATGGAAACAAATATAGCCTGTTGCTAATGATGAAAATAAATAAATTATGCAGCATAATTTTAACAGTAGTTTTTTTTTTTTTTAGCTGGGCTACATCAAGAACTTTTTTTCATCTAAGAACCTGAAGCACAATGTACAGTGAAATGGTTATTAGTTCTTCATACTGTATGGAGGGTTTTTTGCTGATGCAAAGAATCACTGAAGAACATTTATTTTTCAAGAATTAAAAAAAAAGAAACTTGATACAATGTAGGCTAGCAACAGTCAACAACTTTTAATATTGTAATAAAATATTTACATTTTAACAAAAATGTATTGCTAAATTAAAAACAAAATAACAACCGTTTTCAGTTAAATTAGTCTACACATGCAAAAATAGTTTACACTTTGCCTCAAATTTCCACTATAAAATTCAATTATTTTAATGTGCATATTTAATGTAACATTTTACCCTCCATCGGGAAGCCACTGCGGGGATAGTTTTGAGAGAGAGTTGGACGCATCATCCTGGGAACGGTCCCTGCTCCAGAGCAGTGCGGTGACTAAAAGTGCACTTCAGCAGGCTTAAAAATTCATGTAAATATTCCACGAATTAAAACAAAAATTATAAGCTCCGATGATCTTTTTGTATCCCTCCAGGAAAAGCAGAAAAATAAGTACTCGAGGATGAAATGAAATGTTATTAATCAAATGTAGTCTCTTCTGTTTTGTGGTCCTTGGTCGTTGTTTTCATTATGTGACGAGAATTATAATCGCAGCGTTATTGTTATTAACAGACGTTTAGGATGAGCGCGAGTTCTCAAACTACTAAAACATTAAGGAGTTTGCAGAGACCCCCTTGTCTATTACTCGAACAGCGCGTTCTGATTGGTCCACAGGATCCCGTAACCGAGAGCTGATTGGTCAAAGAAGTAGGCTACTTTGCTCTCAGCGTTCCAAAGTGGAAGTCGAAGATTTCAGCGACTGATCTGAGATAGCGGCTTGCTGTTAATAGATGCATGATGATGTATCATCAAATTATACCCAAAATATTAAATATATATATATATATACACACACAGACATAAGACAGACATGTAAACACTATTTAAATATAATAAAATAGCGAATTATAGGCTAATATCGTAACATGTTTTAATATAACTTTGGCTATTTAGTGACAGTGCACAAATAATTTAATAATATAACAAATCAAAGACTGAAAAGAATGAATCAATTTAAATGAACAAAAAGTTATTCACTTAAAATGATTGACTGTTATTTAACACTCTCTCCGACTCGTCCACACACACACACACACACACACACACACACAGTGACTTCAATGACATGTGGCTCTTTTGTTGGACTAAAAAGAAACGTCAAATGTTTTCTTTCTGCCTGCGCGCGGGGACAATGGGGTGCACGCGGGAGGGAAAACACGCGGGGGAAACGGGGGTCCTTTCACGTGCAAAACACTAGATTATTCTCTCTTACTTAAAAAGTTAAATCAACGCCAAAGAGGTCGGACCCTGGAGACACCGACCCAACTATTTAATGGTTAACAATGAATGTGTGTGCGTGTTTGTTCATGAGATTCGATGCATTAATTGCATTATTCACTATTTTCCTGTCAGATTAATATATTTGTATTACATGTCTGTTTATATCTGCTGTAGGCCTACGTCATCTTATATTACTACTTTTACACACAGAGGCTGAATATGAAATCCCTATGAATGTCGATCATTCACAGAACATATGAAGTTTCGTTCATTCTAAAAAATACTACGGTTCTAAATAGATTCAAACGGATTCATAGGAGAATGTGTTTAAAACAAAAATCACACAGAATATGTTTTTTTTTTCTTACTTTAATCTTTTGAAAAGTATAATCTATTATGGTGTGTGTGTGTGACACATTTAGAGTAGCTACGAATAAATCGTTTCTTCTTTATAATAGCCTACATGTTGGGTTCTTTTATAGGGTTTATTCAGCATTAAAATTCAAAAACAGAAGGTGATTGATTAAAAAGGAGAAAGGGGAACAGGCTACACCGGATCCGCGTGTCGAATCCATTTTTGGGGAACAGATCTCGAGCAGAGGTGCGCTCTGATTAGAGTTTAATTAGTTTTATTATCAAGGGTCAAATATCAATATTCTCTAAGCAAATAGTGTCAAAATAATTTGAATCGGTTTTACAATATGCATGCGAAAGTTATATAAAACAAGTTTTAAATGTATGCATGAAACAAAGACATTTGAATAGAGTTAACTGAGATCCCCTTACAGCATAATCTGATGTTGAGTATGTTGGTCAAATCTACCATTAAAATTAGACTAGGTTTGCCAGTGTTGTCAGGGAAAGGAAAAATGTTTAAACCTGTACAGGAATATAGAATTCACCAACACAGACACACCATTTGACCATTTAATGAACTTCTTGAACAGTGCATATGTTGTTTGTGTCATTTGTCTTGTGATCTGTCTTGTCCAGCCTGAGGAAGGCCACCACCCCTTTAACCTCAATTAGATGGGGTTCACTCAGAGAAAACGTAAATCCTCCCCAAAGACAACTTTAGAATAAAATCATCTGTCCTGCATTTACTGGCACAAGCATCCATGAGCTCCAGGCTACAGAACGCACTTAGCCAGGTACTGAAAACATTTATCATTCATTTTCATGCTATATAATAATAAAAATTTGAAGAAAGATCATAACAGGTCAACATCATTGTAGGCTATAGGCCTAGCCTACCTGAATAAAATTACAATGTCAAACTTGGTCCTCACGTTTAAACGATGAAAAGTTGTCAGAAAACATATATTTGATACTCTATTTGCGTGAGTATTCACAGTATCATCTAAATGTTAGTGGAAATAAAATATTTAATTTTACCCACCTTATTTATAACGTAAAAGCGGGCGCGGCCATAGGCCCATTTGTAACGTGAATGTTCGAAGCTTCCGGTGCAATTCGCTGTTATTTTACCTGTACAAAAACTGTCGGTTATGCTGCTTCATACTGCAAACTGGTATTTGTTTTCATGTTATTTTGATTTATCATCATAATCATAAACACACTTGTTTGTAGCGCAAATAATTCGACCATTTACTACTACTTCGATCTCAATTCGAACAGCTGAGTCTTTAGCCATTTTCAAAAAACATCTAAAGACACATATTTTTTGCCAGCACCTGACCAATTAATACTAGCACTTACCTATTCTATTCTGTTCTGTTCTATTCCATTCTATTATTTAAAAAACAACACCCTAGCTACGTGTACTGTGCTAGACTAAGTGAGACTTGTCATAGCACTTGTACACTATTGTTGTTCTCTCTTTGGTCTGATTGCTTCTATTCTCATTTGTAAGTCGCTTTGGATAAAAGCGTCTGCTAAATGATTAAATGTAAATGTAAATGTAAATGTACTTATTTTTCAGCGGCTAATTAAGTCTAGCACATTCTAAGACAATAGTAGGCCTATACTTCCGCGTTTCAAAATAATGTGGATGCACACACATGCAGTCATTTCATAATGTTTATATGAATTCATCAAAACGGCAGTTTCCTTTATTTTTCTTATTTATTAGCCAACCGAGAGTTTGTTCTTGTATGTAAACAGAACAATTTAAATGTGCAAATACAATTCAAACAGGTTTCACAACAATTATTGAGGCATAATAGTAAAAACACACATTTCCTAATTTCTAATGAACATATTACAGAGTATATAAGGGCTGTGTACAAAGCCCATGACCCTATGTAGTGTTACTAAGAGGGCTGGAGTGCATTAAGGGAAGTATAGTCATCTCAGGCAGTAACACTGGGTTCAGGTAAGTGCCGTGCAGTCACTGGGCCGGTGTGTGTGGGAGAAACGGACATATAAACAGATGTGCGCACATCAGGCCTGATGGTCCAGACAGTCACAGCGAAAGCAATACCATGAGAACAAGGGGAGATCACACTGAATGATACAGAAATATCAATTTCACTTGATGTGAACATTTTGATCGTCAGTTTCGTTCTTTACAGTTTGGTCCTTGTTTTTGTGAGTCAGCAAGACTGAGTTGACAGAGTTCACAACAGACTGTTTCTGTTTCGATTTCAGGCTCACATCTAGCCTATGAAACATCTGGACCAGGACAGAAGACGAGCATCTTATCTCTTCTCCTTATCCGCACCCCTGTTGAAAAGACCAGCATATATTGAGCTTTGAATGCTGGTGTCCCTTCCAGGCTTCTTAACCAGCAAGATTTTCTTGGTCCACCAGCTTCACAAACATGCTGCATTTTTCCAGCAAGAATAACCAGCGGTTTACACTATACTATTCAAAGTTTGGAGTTGGTAAGATTTTTCAAGGTTTTTGAAACAAGTCTCTCATGTTCACCATTTATTTGATCAAATATAATGCATTTTAAAATTGATATGCATTTAAATGCATTTTAAAATGTAATGTGATGCATAGGTGAATTTTCAGCATCATTACTCCAGTCTTCAGTCTCACATGATCCTACAGAAATCATTCTAATATGCTGATTTGCTGCTCAAGAAACATTTTTGTTTATGATCAATGTTGTGCTGCTTAATATTTTTGTGAAAACCATGATTTTTCAGGATTCTTTGATGAATAGAAACTTCTAAATCATTTACTTGAAACAGAAATCTTTTGTAACATTACTGACCCCAAACCTTGTTGTTGGTCTTTTCAGCAGGGATCAAAAAGGCAGTAAACCGAGGTCATCGTATAAAGTAAAATGACATATATTGCCCAACAGAATGGCAGGAGGAGCTGTGAAGCTGGTGACTACATAACACTATTGCAATGCACACTACACTACTTTCTCTACAAATGTTGCTTTGTACAGCACGGATAACAGCAGACAATGGCTGTTTACATCCTTAACACTCAGGAAAATAACCTTAGCGTGTCTAAATCGCTGCTGCAATAATTCAAATACCCCCACATTCACTTTATAAAACCTTCCTTACAAAAATGTAAGCAAAACCTCACATGATTACACACAAATGACTGCATCACTACACTTGTCCACCAGAAGAGGGCAGACCTGGTTTAATCCATCACATCTGCCTACAACAACAGCACAAATTATCATATATCAAATGGTACGCTTATATAAACTTCACTTGATAATTCCTATTAAAATGTTCCATTCCTTTAATAAATAAACCAATAAATAAAAAGTAAAGGCACGTAAGAGATAATTTAAAGAAGTAGTGATTGATAATGATTTACACACCCTCATGTTTGCTCTTGTCCCATTTGGAACATGACTGTTTTTAATATTTCTCCTTTTGGGTTCCATAGATTGAACGAGAGGAATCGGGAATAACATGAAGGTGAGTAAATTACAGAATTGTAATTTTTGGATGAACTATCCCTTTAAGAGAATATGATCAAGTATGTTTACCATTCTAAAGAAAATTACCTTTACCCTAATAGAAGGAAATTTAGGCCATCAAGTGTCTTTTAATCATCGTCAACAAACCATTAACTCTAAACAATCAGCTGGACGGTATATTCAGTACAATGCCAAAGCGGGCTAGTTAGAATGTGTTTTGCACTCAAGTTAACAAGCCACAGTTAGCTAGATGAATATTTCAGTTTGTGACACCAAGACAAATAACCTATAGGAGAGATGCAAAGTATCATAAGTGGGTCAGTAAACACTCGAAAGCACTTCTTGGCAGCGGTCCCAGTGTGCGAGTCTTTATCATCGATTTATGGCTGCATCCTGTCACTGCAAGGACACAGCAAAACTCTAGCTGCTCCTCAGGTGTCAGATTCCTGCTTGCTTCACTCGCTATGCACATCTTTTCTAAATGTGTGGTCACATAAGCAAAATTTCGCTGAGAAAAACGTCCATTCTCAGATTTATAAAGCACAGCTCACACAAAAGTCACTTTCTACGGAAGTCCTAAGAGGCCATGGATTATAAATTTTTTTCTTTCTTGTTTTGTCGTGACAACGACTTAATTATCTCGTGATCTCGACATAAGTTATTTTCTCGTGATCTCGACATGACGAAAGTTGTTTTCTTGTTATCACGACTTAATATTTTCTCGTGATCACAACATAACAAAAGTTGTTTTCTCGTTATCATGACTTAATTTTCTCGTGATCTCGACATGACGAAAGTTGTTTTCTCGTTATCACGACTTAATATTTTCTCGTT